CAAGGCGCAATGTCTGACAACATCTGGAGCACACTCCGCATGGCCCTTTCCATGCTGGGGCAGAGTGACCTGTATGGGGCAGCTGATGCCCATGATCTTCCCACACTGCTGCAGGCATTTGGCCTTCAGCAGTGACTCTGGGATAGGTTCCCCTGTGACTGCAGGGTTGGCCTAGCCCAGCAGTGACCTTCCTTAGAGAGAAAACGTTTACTAGGGTTCACACATCTCCTTGCCCTGGTGGGGCAGATCACTGACAACTGTTTTTGAAAGAACATCTTGCTGAAGCGTGCAACTTCGCCTACCTGTCTGTCGTGGCCTGTGCATCTCTGAGTGGTTCATGTTATCACCTCCATGACTGACTGACACTGCTGGTAGGTAGGTGATCAAAGTGGGGAAGATTGTGACATCCAGCCCTTTTTCCAGACTGCATTTGCAGTAATGCCCAGCTTTGCTATGAGCCCTTACAATAGCCATTCTGCAGAGACTACCTGCTGGATATGTCTCAAGTGCAGTTTGCTTTGATGGGGTGGGATTGCCAGTTGGTGAAAGGGTGCAGATTTCTGGGTTTTGAGCATGATTCCCCATCTATGTGCTTGCGTGTGTATATATGTGAGTTGCTAGGGAAAACTGTGGGCAGCGGTGCCCTTTTCTGGGTGCTGATAACTTCATGGTACAGCCAGATGATAGTTTCTCAATGTCTTCATTGAACCTTTTTAAGAGCAGAGTATTGTACTTATGCTGCAGACTGAAGTGGAGGCACTTACCCTGTTGAGGGTAAGAGGAAGTCCCAGAGTTCAGACCTGGAGGAATGTGATAGGAATAGAAGTCTAAAATGTAATCTCTCTGCCCAGAATATGTTGGGGAAAGCGTTTAGTCTTGATTTTCACTTTATCATGTCATTGTTTTCCTTTGTGCAGAAGTTCCCCATCTTGTGTGTAACTGAATCTTGTTAATTATAAATATCTGTATATGATTCTATTGGGGAAAAATGTTTTTTAATTGTAAAGTATTTTGTATAATAAAGGAGGGAGAATTAAAATTGCCTAAATGACATCTTTTTCTGTGCCTCTGTTGGAGCTGCATGCAATGGGTAGTACAGCTCTCTAGGGTATAAACCCACTGGTTTTCAAAAGATAGATCAGAGTCTCTCAGTTTCTGTCTTTCCTTTTGACTCGGGTTTTGTTTTATTGTTAGCTCATAGGCCCGTGAAGCTTAAAGGACCTCATTTTGCTGTAGCCTCAGACTTCAGTTCTGTGAGTCAGCAGAAGAGCTTCCCTGTACCATAAACTCTGTTTTTCTTGCTTAGGCTTAGGGGTCACTGAAGCCTAAGCTTTTTGTTTGTTTTCATTTTCTAGCCATCTGCAATGAGGGAGGCTGTGGTACATTTTATCACCTCTTTTAGAACCCTGACCGCTGTGCTGGTTAAGACCCAGGACTTAGGCAGGGAGCACTTACTCTTCTTTTCCCACCAGGCACTTGTTTCTTCATGCTTCTACTTCACAGCCTTGTTTTTCTCTTCCTACCCTGACAACCAGGAGCAGAAGCTGTGTGCAGAGACTAGTTCTTGCTGTGTGTTTTCAGAGCTCCAGCTTCCTCTGTATCTCCTATCCAGCCGTGTGGACTGAAACCTACGTGCCCTGTTCTGGAATTGCTGCAATGCATGCAAAATGGTTTGCTGCTTATGCTGTCTAAAAGGAAGAGCGCCACTGTTTGTGTTCTGCTTGCGTGCACTGCAGGTCAGAGATATGCCTTTTCATTTTTACTGATCTGTCCTTCTGTTAGGTTCTCTGCTCAGCAGAACAAAACAACGCCTGTGCTGTTTTTCACCTGCTGTCCCTTCCTTTGTTCTCTGCTGTCCCTCTCACCGATGATTTCCTTTGCTTCTTTGCTGCACCACGTTTGTCTGTCACCCTCCCATTATCACTGCTTGGTTTTCCCTTTTTCTCATCCTCAAGTGCTGTTAAGGCTTCTCCTCTCCTTGGCTTCCTAGTTGCCTCAATTCCCATTGCCATTTGGTTTGATTTCTTGACTTTGTGGTTGGTGTTCTTCCCAGTCATACATCCCCTCCTGTCCCTGCAGCTAGAGTGGGCTGTCACCATTTGTCCGCTTTCCATGTCAGTTGTTCTCACTTTCTTGCCTCCCTTCTGTGTTTAAAGTAGATCTCACAGCATCTGTCCTACTTTTGCTGAGGCCAGATCTTCATCTACACACTAGTTTCTGTTTAGTGTCCTAGAGCCGAGTGAAGATTGAGCTGCTTTTGTGCAGACCATGTCCTGTTAAGAATCATCTTTGGAAATGAGCTGTTGGTTCAGGGAGCAGCAGCTGGCTGATGGTGTCTATTTTGGTGCCAGTTCTCACCTTTTGCCTGCCTGCTACAACCTTGTCTCTGGCAACCTCCAAACCAGGTTTGCATTGGGGGCTCTGTAAGTACCTTGATCCTAGTTTGCATTTCCAGCCACATCCACATCTTCTGTTGCTTCTGTGGGACGTACATTTTGGAGTGGAGGAGTAAGACACATGGGGAAGGGATGTTGTACAGTGGGAGCACATAGTGGGTAGTGAATGGTTTTGATTCACAGGTAAGGCAGGAGGAATGTTTGGAGGCCCCTAATCCAACCCCTGCTAGTCTGTATTTTCAGATGGTTTTGGATGCCTGGCATGAGATCCGTGAAAGTAAAAGTCTAACTGTCCATGTCTTTAGGACAAGCTGTAGGTACAGAAACCCACTGCGAATGCGATGGGTAGGTTTTTCTTCTGTAAACTTTTCAGTTTCTCTGGTGAATTTCTGAAGCAAAAGTGACACCTAGTGTTAAGTCGAGGGCAGGCCAGTGACTGTCATGCTTGGGCCAAGCCGCTGAAAGGGTTAGGAGCACAAACTGCTGATATAAGAGGAATTAAATGTCAGATAAATTTTCCGACCATGTGAGTGTGGGGAGCTGGAAAGGCTTTCCCAGCCAAATGTGTTGCTGTGAAGCTAGGACGCCTCTGAGGGTCTGTGGTGCATCTGGTGCTCTATCAGTCAAGAGGCATGATCTATCAATGCATCAAGCCCAGCCATGAGCTGAGAGCCAAGTCAGTGTGGAGAAGAGAGCCAAGACAGCCCCGGGAAAGTTTTCCCAAGAACCTATTTTCTAATCAGCAATGTAACCTGGCATTATTACAAAATAAGTGGTTAAAGTCTAATCATCACCCTGTTTCTGGGTAGACAAGATCTGACCTTGAGTCCAAGTTTTATGTTGTGCCATTATGCAAATGTGCCTGAACTTGCTCTGTTGTATATTGAGCAAAACACTGCTCTTGGGCCTTCTGGATGAAGTCTAGTGGTGAAAATACAAAGCTCTGCATGGTCTGATTTATCTTACTGAGGAGGTTGAGAACACTGTATACCACATACCCACTGATACCAGTGCTACAGACAACATTAGGACATGTTAATGTTTGCTTTCCCCCTTCCAATACACCGTTTCCTTTGGGCACAGCTGGCTCTATCTTTAGAGGTCAGTGTTTTCAAGTTATTTTGGCCTAGAGTAGGGAGAATGCTCCATGTTCTTGGAACTGAATTTTGCAATCCCATTAAAAGAAAGTCTTTGAACAGAGCAAGGAAACCTGAAAAGGGCTGTAAAACAGTAAAAAGTGTCCTAAAACACAGGGAGCCTGAGCTTATCACCATTGCATCTACTACATAAGCCTAGCTGAGGAACGCAAGTGGCTGCCATCTCAGCACAGCCTGCAGTGCTTATTTCAAAATGAGAGCAAAGCCCAGCAGGTGATAGCACAGTGTGTTCTGCATTTCATTTTTAGCTATAAATACAAGAAAATCATGGCAGACAGGAGCCCATCACAGAGCTAGATAAACATTGCAATGCAGAGCTGCATCACAGCTGGCATCTCAGAAGGCAGCTGCCATTAGACAGCCTTAATGCAGAACTGCAACTCTGTGCTCTTCAGGTAAATGTGTGTATGGCAAAACAGCTCTTGAACTAGCTAGTGAACCCACAGCTGCAAGAAAGCCTTGCACAGTTCTTATTCCAAATGCAAATAGTTTGAAGTTGTCTTAGTTGAAGTGTGACCTTGACACACTTGAGAAGTGGCCAGTGCCAATCTCATGAAGTTCAACAATGCGAAGTGCAAGGTCCTGCCCCTGGGCTGGAGAAATCCCAGGCACAGAAGTGATTCAGAGCAGCCCTGGGAGAAGGACTTGGCGGTACTGGTCCATGAGAAAAGGAGTGTGACCAGTAGCTTGAAGGAGGTGATCCTGCCCCTCTGCTCTGGTCTCATGAGACTTCACTTTCAGCTCTGTGTGCAATTCTGGTGTCCTCATCATAAGAAGGATATGGAGCTGTTGGAACAAGTCCAGAGGAGGCCACTAGAGTAAGGGCGCTGGAGCACCTCCTGTATGAGGACAGGTTGAGAAAGTTGGGGCTGTTCAGACTGAAGAAGAGAAGCTGCACGGAGACCTCAGAGCAGCTTCTAGTATCTGAAGGGGGCTTACAAGGATGCTGGAGAGGGACTTTTTATTGGGGACTGTAGTGATAGGACAAGGGGTGATGGGTTCAAACTGAAACAGGGGGGATCAGGTATATACAAGGAAGCTCTTTACTGTGAGGGTGGTGGTCACAGGTTGCCCAGAAAAGCTGTGGCTGCCCCATCCCTGGCTGTGTTCAAGGCCAGGTTGGACAGAATGCTGGGCTTTGGTAAAGAGCATTGTAAAGCAAACTACAATGTAAGTGATGCTGGTTCTATGCTCATATTTTATTTATGCATCTAGCAACAGAAGCAACATGTAATGCTTTTACATTAAGTAGTGGAGGACATCAGAATACCAGCTGCAGGTGCAATAGGTTGCACACTCCTGGATGTCTCTTGTCTTTGAGTCTCTCTAATTTGACAAAATACAGTAGCTTTTGCATTCACTGGGATTATGGGGAGGGAGAGCAATGCAAAGCAGGGTTGAGAAACACAGATCAGCGAAAACAGTTTCAGTGTTTCTGTGACACAGGGTGTGAAAGCTCTACAACCAGCAATACAAACATAGACAGAGGCCTAGGTCTCGGATTTCTTGCTGATGCTGCTGCTTCCCTTAGCACTGCAGGATTTGCAGTCTAATAGCTCCTGCCGGGGAGAAGGGGACGCAGGAATGAAAGCTTGTCGTTGAAATCGATGATCCCATAACTTGGAAGGTGTTCGTTTTCTCGCGCAATGTAACGAAAACCACTCCCATCGCCGTGTTCACACAGCAGCCAGACACCTCTCTGCACTTTGTGAGAAGACACGATGTCATTATCATGTCCCCTACTTAGATTGGTTGCTTCTGTTATCACCCTGCGCTTCCCTTGATAATTGACATGTTCATAGAGAGTGATCTGGGGATTGTGCAGATTTTCAGTGATCATCTGCAGAGAAGTGATCTTATCATTCATCTTATGCCCAACAAAATTATGTTCTCCCTCCTCAAATACCACTAACTGGCCTGTATAATTGGCGTGCTCATAAGCCACCCAAGGCTGGCCAATTACTCTCACTGAAGAGATACAATCATTCCAATCTACATCTTTTAGATTGGCAATGTCACTGGTGAATTCTTTGGAATAACCCTGGAAGTGGGCATGCTCATAAACGATGATTTTCCCCATCTTCCTCCTTGTCCAGTAGGACTTCTATAATAGCTCAGATTTCTTGCTTCAGGAGCTGGATGACAACCTGCAGAAAAGGGAAATTGGAAACAAATAATGCTTGTAAGAAGCCTTGTTGCATCAGACACAAAATGCTGGAGGAGAAAGGGGCAGAAATGGAAAAGTAAAACATTTCTAGAGGATAAATATAGCAGCAGCTGAAAAGTGTGAGGGCATGGCAGAGATCTGAATTTGCAATAAGAAATAAAACATGATAGGTACACCAAAACTGCCCAGTTTTATTTAGTTGCGTACATTGGTTTATGTGTATGTGCAAGGGACATCTAAGTGTTTAGTTCAACATCTTATCTCTGTATCCCAAATAACAATGAAATAAAATTTAGAACCGGTGCTAAATCCTTCAGTTGATAATTGACACTGCATTTGAGAACTTTTTTAGCAATTGGTGCTCATTGTTTGGACTAGATTTCATAATCCACATAATATCACAAATAAAGAATTAATGAGATATTCAATTAGTTTCTAAATGAAAGTGCATTTTGTACCGTAAACAGGAAAAAAAAATCTATTTTTCTAAGGCCAGAACTGAACTTTTAGGCTCACTGAAATAATTTTGTTCTTTTCATGTGAAACTTTATTGAAATCAAGAAATTCCTTTTGTTGACACGAGTTGAGAAGCAACCAAGTTCAAAGCATCAGCTCTGTGAGTCAGACTACATTTCAGGTTGTAAATGCCTCTCTGTAGCATTATTACAAATACTCATGTCTAATTACACACAGATTTGTCTGGAATCAGATAAGGAACCACAGTATTTATTAGTAACAGCTGCAGGAACAGAAATGAGTGGCCAGTTAAGGTAACAGCTCCCTTTCTAAATCATGTCACAGTCATTGAAGCAAAGGTTTAAGTTTCAGGACAAATATATCTGAGAGAAAGAAACAGTTACTGTAGTTGGCTCTAGGAAGAGATGGAAGAAGATCAAATCTTCCCCAGTAAGATTAGAAGTCATATTAAAATTTTAAGACCTGAGCAACAAAATCAACATTAAAACCAAAAAAATAATCTCTCTTAAAAAAAAAATCTTACTGTGTGATTGAAAACATTTAAACATTTTTTCACAATTATAATTTATGGAGGCTGTGGTTACCCACACTTTAATTTATTGATTCATTGAGCACTGGGCTAATGACCTTCTGCCTGTAGAAAAAAAAAAAGAAAATAATATTCATCATCATCATCCAACAGGATCCTTGTGCCCAAGATTCATTGGTAAAATATTCTCACTTTCACCCCTTGGAATTCTGTAGCAATGTCTTTCTCCACCCTCTCCCTTTGCAAGGTATTTTTATCCTGTATTTTCTCATCATCTCAAAGATGTGTTAAGTTTCTGCAAATACAGACATCGGAGTCCTGCATACGTGCTGCAGCTCTCATCCCAACACTTAAACCTTTTTCTCTTCAGCTACATTTCACAGTAGCTGCCCAAGAAACCATTGAAAGTTTTAATGTAAAAAGCATGCATCTCACCTTGATGTTGGCTTCTTGGACAGGGGGAATTGGTGGCACTTCCTTCGTTCAGCCTGGTGCTTCTGTGATTGCTACTGGCTCACTTGCCTACATTTATGTCTTGCACAGAGTGTTGCGAAACACCCCTGTTGCAGCAAACTCCTAACTGTGCAGTTTAACCTGTCTACTTCCCAAGAACTGATAACCTGGGGAGGGGGTATATTTGTGTCCACCTGACTACAGGTCCAAGGTCCATGGCGACTGCCTGCAAAGTTTGTGAAGCCTTGCCATGAGCTTGACAAGATGAATGGAAAAAAGCCTCAGCTACAGGAGCTGACCGTGAATACCCCAAGCAGAATGAGGTAGAGGAAGAGAAAGAACGAATGATTGCAAAACATCACTTGGGGGCAACTGAAAAGTAACATCCTGAATATATGTGCTTGTAAAGTAGCTATTATTAGAGGTTGTGATTTTGTGTATAAAACCACCTGTATTTACTAGCTAGTTGCTAATAAGAAACTGCACCTTGTATTGTATAGATTTGTCACTTGTAAAAGAGATGTTAGAGTATGGAAATTTGCAGTAGCTGCTAGAAAATGCTAAGGCAAAAGCTAGAAAGATTTTAATACAATGGCAGTGTTATAAAGCAGGTAATGGAACAAATTAAGAGGGTGGGAGAATTCCACTGGTAAAAAATTTCTTTGGTTAGTCCCTCGCTGCCATCAGCATCTTCAACATGCTGCTGCACCCTGTAATAGTTACTCTGCTAATGTAAATTTGTGTGTGTGCCTTGCTGTAGTAGCCAGTAGCAACTGGATGAAGCAGGTGAAACTGCATTGACAACAAGGTGCAAGGACTGAGGCTGACAAAATGCCTGCTACCACAGTCAAGGGCAAGACTGGGTTGGCCTCTGTGTTTGCCACCAAGAAGAACCTTTAGCTCCGCTGTTGGCTGCAACCCAGCAGGCGTGGAGCGGTGGGGACACAAGCCATGCCAGATCTTGATGTGAAGGATGGCCTCCCCTGCTATCAGAGAGCCATACAGCAGAAAAAAGGGGCAGGCCCAGCAACCTGTAGTCGGCATGTATTGGAGATATGTTCTAGCCCAAATCCCCTGCTCAAGTAGAGTCACCCAAACCATATATAAAACAAAAAGGGGGAGATGTGGAGGCAGTGTTCTCACAGGAGAATGGATAATGGGTACATAAATTCTGAATAATCCTGAAAGATACAGCAAGGCCATGAGAGGCCCGAGGGAGCCTAAACAAGCAAGATCAGAAGAAGCTGGAATTCACTGAGTTAATGAGAACTGTGGGCTGTTGGCAAGCTTTCGAGGTCAAGTTCCCACACCTGTGCTTAACCAATCGTATGTTAGTTGCAAAGGGTCTTCAAGACATGTATCCAATCATAATATGCCAAATCACTGTAAGTGCATGTAAGAAAAAGTATTTAAGGGGTTAAGGCTTTGTAATAAACGGCTTTTGTCTGATCATATTGATCTCTGACTGAGTCCATGTATTTTCTGCAGCACACCCCTTTCAACAGAACTGAGAAGTGGCTGGTATGACCCTCAAAAGTCATTAGCTATTCTGTTTTGGTTTTGATTTTCCCAACCCAGCTATCTCGCTGCTCTGGTTCCAAAGCCTGTTGAATAGCAAGCATCATGTTAAACCCTGGAGCTCTGATTCATGTCTCTGTTCTCCAGAAGTCAGCTGATATACAGTAACGAATCCATCAAAATGTTTTTGACACATGGCCTGTTAGAACTGTTCTGCTTGTTGCAGTTTACTGTGGGAGCTGCAAGCCGTCCTGTACCTTCTGTGTGCATAATTAAAGAAAAATTGCTGATAGTGCATGTTGGTCAAGCCAAGGAGTGTGTATGAAGACAGGCTGAGAAAGTTGGGGCTGTTCAGCCTGGAGAAGAGAAGGCTGCGTAGAGACCTCATAGCAGCTTCCAGTATCTGAAGGGGGCCTATAGGGATGCTGGAGAGGGACTCTTCACTAGGGACTGTAGTGATAGGACAAGGGGTAATGGGTTAAAACTTAAACAGGGGAAGTTTAGATTGGATATAAGGAAGAAGTTCTTTCCTGTAAGGGTGGTGAGGCACTGGAATGGGTTGCCCAGGGAGGCTGTGAATGCTCCATCCCTGGCAGTGTTCAAGGCCAGGTTGGATGAAGCCTTGGGTGAGACGGTTTAGTGTGAGGTGTCCCTGCCCATGGCAGGGGGTTGGAACTAGGTGGTCTTAAGGTCCTTTCAAACCCTAACTATTCTATGATTCTATGAGTGCAAGGTCAGGCTGGAAAACCTCCTGGGAAGTCATTGTTTATAGAATGGAATTTATAGCGACTGAAAACAGTCACTGTAATTGATGTGGTTTCTGTTTGGCTCCATAGCTCAGACCCATATTTGTATGCTATATATTACTATGCTGGAGTGAATAATGTGGAACTAGTTGTGGAATCATGGTGTGTGTGTGTGTTTAGCCTATTTCTTTAGAGATGCTGCAAATAGTGCCCTCTGTATACGATAACTAGACTGCTTGACATTGCGGTGTCTGCGTGATGCGATGGGGAATTTCTGGTACTGACATTTGCCTGTTACAGGTCAGTAATACCCACTGGATGGTGAATTACGGGATTGCATTAGAAAAATGGGACAAGTAGGATCAGCTGAACAGAAATTATATTTAAAAATTTTACAGCAAATTCTAAACTCCTCTGGATATCGTTTGGCTGAGAAGCAAGTAAAGAATCATTTGTTATGGGTGGAAAAAAATTGCAACTGGTTTCCAGCAACAGGGTCATTTCATACTCGGATATGGGAGAGAGTGGGAGAACCTTTGCAGACTCAAAATTGCCTTGGTATGGAGGTTCCTGCTGATTTAATAGTGACATGGCGTTTTGTCTGTTCTGCGTTATCTAATTTACAAGCTGCCGAGGCTATAATTCAGAAACATGGTAAAACAAATTATCAAAATACTGACAATTTGAAAGAGGAAGGACAGAAGGATGAACATTTCTTCTCTGAGGAGTCTGATGATCCTTTTGATCCTGGCTCCATAGATTCAGAAAAGGAGCAAAATTTATACCCACCTCTGACACCATTAAAGGTATTCACATTGAATATTCCTCATGCTCCTCAGCCTACTGCACCTCCCTTGACTGATCTCGATAAAGAATTATTTGACCAGCTGTTAGTTAACCAGAAGGCTACTAAAATATTTATACAAAAATGCATGGGGAAAGCCATAGAGGATGGTGCTTTTGCTTTTCCTGTATTTTATAGAACAGATGGGCAGGGGCAACAACAACTGGTACATGAAAATATGCTGTATACAGTGTTTAAGGAATTGAAAAAATCAGCGATGGAAAAGAGAATTCAAAGTCCTTATACATTAGGTCTGCTAGAAATGATGGCTAGTTCAGGTTCTATGGTGCCATGGGATTGGAACACTTTAATGTGAATGATTTTGACACCTGCTCAATACTCAGTGTGGAGATTGGAATATAATAACTTAGTGGCTTTACAGGTATTAGATAATGTTCAAAGAGGAATACCAATAGATGCTGACATGTTAACAGGCAATGGTTGCACCCTCACAATCAAGTTAATCTAAACCCTCTGGTATTCCACCAAGCTGCCCGTATGGCTGTTCAAGCCTGAATCGAGGCAGAAAATGTCTTCTTTTGCAACTGTTCACCAAGGGTCTCGGGAACCCTATGTGTCTTTTAAAGAGCAATTAAACAATGCTATGCAAAGGCAAATTGATAATCCTGAGGCTGCTTGTGCGCTTCTATTTCAGCTAGCATATGAAAATACAAATGGAGGTTGCAAAGCTGGTTTAGCCCCGATCAGCGTAAAATTTACAGACATTGCTGAGTTTATTAAAACATGTCAGGATGTTGGTGTGGAGACTCATAAAGGCTTCTGTATTGGTTGCTGCATTATTGAAACTTAATATGTGTCAGTAAAAATGTTGTAACTGTGGAAAGGAAGGACATATTGGTAAAATGTGTCCCCAAAAGAAACGAAAACAGAAAGGGAAAACGCCATCTGAACTCTGTCCCAGATGCAAGAAAGGATATCACTGGAGCAATCAGTGTAAATGGAAATTTGATAAGGATGAAATCCTTTCTCGGGAAACTCCAAGCGGGGCACTGCAAAACCCGATACCCCTCAAAACATCCGGGATCTCCGATCTTGGAGCTGCCACAACAGGCAGCGCGGGGTTGGGTTTGGCAGCAAGCACCGACATCAGGTTAGATTGTGACACTGTTAAAGCTATAGCTACCGATATTTGGGGACCTTTACCAAAAGGATTTATGGGTCTTTTGTTAGGCTGCTCAAATACAGTTCTCCAAGGAGTGAAAGTTCATCCAGGGGTAATAGGTTTGGATTATACAGGAGAAATAAAAATTTTAGCATCTGCCTTAAATGGCAGTTGTAAAATTCCAAAAAGTCAAAAATTAGCACAAGTTGTTTTGATTCCATCCTGGGTGCCAAAAGTAGAAATTAACACAAGGAATAAATACCTCTGGCTTTGGAAATTCTGGAAAAGCTGAGGTTTATTGGACCCAGGGGATTACTCAGAAACAACCTTTATTGAATTTGCAGAGTCTTTAGTGGGTTAATAGACATTGGGGCAGATGTTTTGATTATTTCACAATCTCAATGGCCAACTGATTGGCCCTTTGGAAAGACTTTAGTATCAGTAGCTGGAATAGGAGGTATACAATCTCCTTTTAAAAGTAGTTGAGTTCTCAAAGTTATTGCACTGGGTGGTGCCGTAGCTCATTTTCAACCATATATACTGCCAGTTTCTATGAATCTGTGGGGGTGAGATGTGCAAACACAGTGGAATTTGTTACTTACCACAGACAGGACAAATTTATCCTAACGGCTGCTGATCTGAAGCCCCTGCTCAGACTCTCACGGTTAACATAAAAAACAGTTTGGGTTGATCAGTGACCTTTAAAAGGGGAAAAATTGGAACAAACACATTTATTGGTTGAAGAGCAACTGAAAGTAGGACATATCGTTCCATCTACTAGTCCCTGGAACACACCCATTTTTGTAATCCCAAAGAAACCA